TGTGTGTGTGTGTGTGTATATGTAGTGTGTAATCAGTAAATTAAACAATCTATATTCCCAAGAGGAGGATGCACGGCCAATCCTAAATTCATTTCTGATTTCTTAGTGCTCTGCATTCTAGCTCAAGAAGGTAGAGCGGGCAGGTCTGGTCCTGGGTTACACCTGTGTGTGATAATGATGTAGATGGCTCAACTGCCACCATATAAAGAAAATATGATTTTCTTCATATTGGAGTCCCTAAGGGCTCTCTGGTGGGTTATGAGGAAACAGTAATTTTTAGAAGTGTAAGAGCTGGTATGTGTTATAGATGGTATGTTTTATAGATGAATTTGAGGAAGGTCTGTAGGAGAATCTGTAGGACTTCATAGCTATTTTGATGGCAGGTCCTTCAACATTTACTACTTAATAATAAAATAATCTCCAAACTTTAAAGAAATACATTGTGGGGGGCAGAGAGCAAAACTGGCTAACAGGTACCTGACTGAAATACCATAAGGGTAGGTGGGACAGAAGAGAATTTTGAATGTCTGCTGATGGACCATTTAGATTCACTCTGGTAATGTTTGTCAAATTATTTTAATATTATTATTTCTGTGTTTCCTAATACCATCAAGAATCAGCCTCTTGTGTCATTGATACCATTTCAGTGAGTGAAATTTTACATTGAGAAAACTGAACTTATGTAGACCTCATAACGGGAATGATTGCGCAGGATTTGGATGTGGAGCAATCAAGATTTATTCTGGGTTATGTATTTTGGGGATTGTCGTCAATATAGAATGGATTTCCAGTTATATAAACAAATTTATTTGATTGCTTCTGGCATAGCATATATACTAGCTTTCAATAACAGCCAAATAAATATTTAACTCTTAAGTATCACTAAAACACTGCTGTCTGAATGACAGCACTGTCATTCAGATGTGGCACTCATGGGGTAGTACCTACATTGGCATAGCTTGTGGAGACTTGGAAATGAAACTGCAGAACTGCTATTATAACAAATACTAAATAATTATACTACTACTTGATCACTCACATGGGTTTTATAAACAGCTTATAGAGTTTTATCTTTTTTCTTCTTGGGCTTAGAAATTTTCCTCTCTCTATCTAAAATAATCTAAATCTAAAACAATCTTTCTAAAACAATTTCTTTGCTGTTTACTAGGCTTTTTGCTATTGTGCTCTTTCTTTGTGTCATGTACTTAGGCTCACACTAAGGTAGATATTTTACATTTTATTCACAGAATAACTAGATTCCTACTTTTTCTTATCATGGCAGAACAGTTCTCACAGACATTATGTTCCCTTTTTCCTTTCCTCCATAGTCTTTTGAGAAGGGCTGTATATGAGATGGATTGTGTGACCTGGCATCAAAAGGCTAAACTGAGAGCAAGTGCTTCAGTTTTTGATGGGAAATCCTTCAGGACAACCGATCAACAGCAGCTAGAAATGGGTCTATCAGTGTCATGAACACTGAAGATCAAATTTCTGGCGGTGGGGATTCTGATTTTAAAGTTTATATGGAGTAAATCTTGCAGAGTGAGTTAACATGCAGTTCTGCAGTGCCCTGGGTTTAACAGCAGCATGTCTGCGCCTCCAGGCTCTGCCTCACTTCTAAACTCCAGCCCTTCAAGGGGTCGTGCTGTAGAGATTATCGCTCACATAAATGTACTAGGTTCAAAGAGGTTTCCCCTCCTCCTTGTGAGCCAAGGGGGCTTTATTAAACTGACTTCGCCTATAGACTGAGAAATCCTTTTGGACAAAGGATGCCCCGGGGGCCAGTGTACTAGAGATGAATCAAGCTTGATGGTCAACACAGCAGACGCTAAGTGCATGACGGATACAAAATTGAGCTCAAGCCACCTGGCTGCTGTGATATTTGCTTCCGAACAGAGGGAAGATGAAGGGATGTAAATAAATACAAGGTATAGACTTTGGGTGATGCTACTATACAAAAATTTCCAGTCTTGTCTTTTATTTTTATGGAAATCGTCTAGGTGATAAAGCGTACCTGGTGCACATTGCTGTTAAATTGGTGCTGTGTGTCTTTTTTGGTTGCTACTCCCTGTGAAAGAGACGGGAGCGACCTTTAAGCCAGTGACATCCTCCCATACACCCTGCTGTGCGAGCCTAGGCTCAACCTGCAGCTGCAGCAGCTGCAGGGGGATTTGCATGAAGTGCCCATAATGTCTTCAGTACAAATGCAGGCAGGTTGCCCCAGCTCTCTGCCTTCGTCCTCTTAGCCAGGCACGCTTAGCTTGAAATGAGCATATTATACTCTGTCTATTATGTATATATCTATGTTACAAATGAACTGTACAAAAATGTACTGAAAAAGTCTAAAATAGATGTTCTATTACACTCTGAATTAACTGAGCTGTTCTCTCACCAAATAATGTTCTTCATAGACATCTTTTTATATATCTATATATGTATATATTTATGCTGAACTATATGCTTTTTATCCCTGAGGGGAGTTTTTCAGCCAGTCTAAATTATATGGTGGGTTTGTAATCTGAGCTGATGTTTAACAGCTGAGCTGAGTCACCAAATTTCAGTTTGTGCATGTGCAATTTGTCTTTTTTTTTTCTTTTTTTCTTTTTTCTTTTTCCCTCCTTCTCGCTCCTGTCTGGAAATTTTACTGTGGAATTTCAGCACTGTAATTTTTAGATTTCTCTTAAAATATCTGAATGCAACTTGCAGAAGTAAATTCCTGTGCTATTCATAGTTGACTAGCTGTGAGCTTAGAGAATGAATTAGGAGGTATTCTCAGCGTGGTTTGCTTTTCTGTTGTTAGCAGAGAAATTGAAAATTCTAATTTAGAACATTAAAAAAAGCCTCATCCCTCAAGATGCCTCAGTTTATTGGGAAAATTCTTGATTTAGAAGGGAATCTGGCTAAAAGAGTCTACTTGGAGTCCCTTTTCTGGAAAATAATAGGTTTATTAAGTTCTTTCATTATCATTGCCTTGTGTTAGGCTGCTTTTAAGAAATATATCAGCAATTGTCTTGTCCTATTGTGAAGGTCTATGGGCTTTGTTAGAGAAGAAACAAAGCAGATCGTTAGAAAAATACCTGGTTTCTGAATGTAACTCATCTCTTTGCTTTTATTTCTGAAGAGAAAAAAATGTATTTTGAGACAGTAATTATCCATTTACCTTAAAATTTACTTCATTTAAAAAGAAGTCACTCATATTTGAATTATATTTGAGTTCTGTGTCAGTTTTTATGGTTTAAGATGATAGTTTCCTATCATTTTCATTGTCTTTTTTTTTTTTTTACCCCTGTCGTTTCCTGAAACGAAACACGTCTTTGGGGAAGTGGGAAGCCCCGAATTCTAGAGACACCATTTGTGCGCCCAGGGTCAGCCTGAGAGGGCTGTTTACTGTAAATGCTGTGGGAAGAGGCTGCTAGGGAGCCCCGTAAGCCACGTAAGAGATTCCTGCGTAGACAAGAAATGATTCACTGTTACTAGTAAGATAAACAGGGCAGCATGTGGGCTCTATTTGTCTTTCTTGCATGTTTGTTTTTGTTTTCTACTGAAATGCCTGTGCTGGTGTTTCCTTTTCAAGCAGACCTTTCTTTGTAACTCCCAGCCTTTCATTCATGTATCTTTTTTTTTTTCTTTTTTTTCTTTTTTTCTTTTTCTTTTTTTTTTAATTACTGAATATTGTCAAAATCTCTTTGAACTCCCCTGCAGCTACAAAGGCTGGGCAAAGGGGTCTGGTTTTGTGCATCTGCTGGAGCTTTCCACGTTTTTCACCTTTCGCAGATCTGATGCCTTTGTGACTAGTAGTTAAGAGGTAGATTTGGGTACAAATAATCCTGACTTGGTGCCGTTTAGAGATTAAGAGGAAATCAATCCTACTTTTCTCTAAGCTTCTTGTGAGGTGTTGAAGGAAACACCGTGATACAGATAAGCAGCTTTGATTTGGGTTTCACCTTGCAACTGAAATGCTAAACTTCTCCAGCAGCCCCATTTTCCTGTGCTTTTGATTGAATTTCCACATTTTCACTGGCTTCTGCTAAACAGCCTTCCCTGCACTCGGAGAATCTCCTGCTGGGAACACCCTGGGCCTTGGCAGCCTGAGCCCGAGGACGGGCATGTAGCGAAGGGGCTATGTCCTCTTTGTCTATGTCATCTATGTCATCCAGTGTCCTCGGCACTGTTAAACTACTTCTGTCTTTCAAGTAGTTGTGCATTCAAGTGCAGTTAAAAAAAAATAAAGTTTGTTAATTAGTTCTTTGTGATCTTTTGTTTTTCAGGCACCCTGCAAGAATAGAAAGTACTATTTTTGTAGTTAAAATCATTCTGTTTTTTTTCTCTTGGTCACAATCTTAAGACCTTTGTAAAAAAAGCTGAACACTTATTATTGTTAATTAATTAATGTATTATTGTTAATTAATTTTTATTTCCCTTTCAGTATCAAATGTCTTTTAACCTGTAGAGGCAGAGATTCTGCTTAATAAGCCAGCTGTCAGGCATGTGATAGGTAGCAGCAGCAAAGCACAGATCCTGTTACAATTCCAATACTATGAATGCATCCAACCAATCGTCATTCTTTTCTAGTGGCTTCCACCTAACTTTAAATTAGCAGCTTACTTGCTTCAAGTGAGGGGTTCTGCAGCAGCTGACACCCAGTGCTGCCTGACAATACTAGGGTTATTTTAAGAGAGCAAATCCCTCTGTGTGTGATAGCTGAAGGGTACGACCCCAAGAAGAAAGCCTGAGAGTACTACACAAGTATCTTTCATTTTCTTTTTTTATGCATCCATACATGCTTATTTATATATGGCTATATGTGTATTTGTATCTTGGATTATTAAGGTGGTTGTACTAGAGAAAATAAGGAAGTAGATTATTTACTCGCTCCGGTTTTGGCTATGATAGAGACCTGTAGTCCTAAATTAAATCATTTTGAAACAAGGTATCTCTGTTTAAAGTTTGATGGATCAATGTGCTCTTTAACCTTTCTTTTCCTTTCTTCTTCCTGACAGATCTCTAAACAACAACTTTTTCACGTAACTGGTCAAAACTGAAGGAGGGATGGCCAGTTCAGCGCGAGACCATCTGCTTTTTGTGAGACGTCGCAACCCACAGCTACGATATACTCTGAGCCCGGAGAACCTGCAGAGTTTGGCCTCTCAGGGCACCATGGCTGAGAACATGAACTTGCAGCGGGCCAACAGTGATACCGACTTAGTCACCTCGGACAGCAGGTCTAGTTTGACAGCAAGTATGTACGAATACACCTTGGGGCAATCTCAGAACCTCATCATCTTCTGGGATATCAAAGAGGAAGTCGACCCAACTGACTGGATAGGACTTTACCACATAGGTAAGTCAGAGCTATGTTGTAATTTTTCAGGGTGTTTGTTGCTCCCTTGCCATTTCATCTTTCATTTTCTTAAATATATTTTGGCAGACCACATCACTAATCTGAAGATGTTATTGAGAATCTGTGAAGAATTACCCTGGATTTCTGTTTTCTTAGCATAACGAACTATGTGAAAATATGATTCTCATTAGCGTAGATCTAATTGTATGTGACTTGCTAGAGAACAAAATGCTTTCTTCTTAAAGGACCTAGGTTACAAATGTGCAGTTTCCTTTTCACATCTGGTGATAGACTTGCAAAGTGGAGAGTTGGAAGCACAATATTCTTCGTGTAACTTGATGTGCTTGCTGTCTAATGTTTATAAAGTTTTTTTTTTTGGATGAGAAAATTTTAAACATTAGAGAAAAGGTATTTTGTATAATTCTTTTATTTTTGTAGAGTGGGAATTTTATGAGTTCCAAATGATACGAGATTCATATTAGTTTTCCTGTTTTCTTGTCAAGTGATCTAAGGACTTCAGTAAGATAAAGTGCAATGGAATATTTTGTACTAAGTCAGAGTGTGTATATTGACTCTGAGTGCCACAGGGCTTGCAGGGTTTTGCATTGACTTCAGTGAGAACTGAATTGGTGCACTTTGGGGCCGCTTTGTGGTAGATGTTAGGTCATTTTCTTATCATATTTATTAATAGAGAATTGTTCTTCTAAATAATCTTTGGTTAAAGAGACCTAAGGAGCTAAGCTACCAAGAGTCAATGAAAGCAGCAAATCTATTAACCACCTTAAAATAGCATATAGAAATTTTAAGCAATGAAAGCTGGTAATCGTAGATCAAAGCTATATTGAATTACTTGAAAAAAAAAATGCAGTCCTGTTCCATGTGCTCTGGGTGACCCTGTGTGCGCAGGGAGGCTGGACTAGATGATCTCTGGAGGTCCCTTCCAACCTTAAGGATTCTATGATTTTATGAAAAATGTTAACTGGGCCTTCAAACACAGCTGTGAAAATGACCTTTCATCACCCCTTACCATGGGCCATAATGTCTGATTCAGATGAGGGCAAGGCAAAGTGCTGAGGTATTGACATAACCCCAGAGCTTCAGACAACATCCTAAATTTTTTACCATTAGCTGCACTACTTCCCACTCACTGCTTTGGAAGTTACAGACACTTCCTACTTGTCTTCCCAGAAGTAGAGGGTGTTGGGGTGAATGTATTTAAAAGCCAAATCCTAAGTGAGGTTACCCATCCCCAGTGTCTTTAAAACATAAACCATTTGACCTGCAAAGTCATTCTCTCGCCCTTCCTCTGCAGGTGATACAGGTGACGTGTTGTCACTAACACGAGAGCTCTCTGTCTGTGCCAGTGCAATGCAGTACCCCTGATGTTCCTCCACAGCTTTTGGGAAAGCATTGTTTTTTTTTTTAAGGAGCCAGGAATACACAAAGGTGCAAATATGTTGTTACTTAAAAAGAATGTATTGCATAATCCAAAACTCCAGTCTTGTTTGGTTGGTTGGTGTTTGGTTTGGTTGCTTTGGTTTACCATTGCTTGTGCAATTAACTGATCGCTGTTTTGGAGTCTAGGAGCAAGCCTGGTGCTGCAGAGAGCTTTGTCAAAGAGCTGCAGCAATCCAGGTGAAGTTTCACATCATATTATTTTCACAGAATGCATCTGTTGTAACAGGAACTTGCAATGCCATGCAGAGAAAAGTCTGCTGTCTCCATTCATGAATTTATTCAGATGATTCAATTAACTCTTTTATAAGCTTTCTGCCACAAGAAAGTAGTTATTTCTCAGCTTGCAAGTGTGCTCCTAGAGTACAGTTGAAATTGCAGGGGCTCATACTTCTTTTACACCTCCTCCCTTTTTTTTTTTTTTTTTTTTTTTTTTTTTTAAGACTTAGCTTTAAATCACTTTCTTCATGCCTGGATTGAATGAAGTGACATGGATTGTCACTTTGAAGTGACAGGGCTTGATGAAATTCGAGAAAGGAGCTTCTTGGTAGACGTATGCCTCTTGTTTTCTGAGAAGTAAAGGTGAACTTTCAATTTTCATGTCCTAAGGAGAAGGAAGGGAAAAAAAACAGTTCTGGAACCAGTTGCTTGAGGAAGCAATTGGATTTGGAGTATGTTTCTCACCTTCTGGCCTGGTAGAAGACAATGCTGTGTAACAAGCACATTTTGCAAGGATCTTCTTGGACCTATGACACATTTCCCTTAGCCAGCACTGATCCAACTTGTGCATGATACATTGATTTGCTCCAAGCCTTATTTCACTTGCTGGAAGATTGCAGGCATTTTTATTTTTCCAGTAATTAAGAGGAATCCGACTCCTTCCATGGCAACAGTGGTCAACCTGTGGCCCTGGAGCCATTAGCTACTCCAGTGCAGCTCATGTATTGCTTTAATTTCCGCCACTCTGAAGCATGAGGTTGGATTTGCAGGGAAAGGTTGGGCTGTATCTGGCTTTCCCGCTCCCATGGCTAGGATCTAGCAGGAGAGGTTAGGCTGACTGTTTTTTGTTTGCCCTGCTGATGTGGAGTTGCCCTGCTGATGTGGAGTTTACAAATCACTGTCTCTGAAGAAGAGAGGGACACTAGGATAGTGGAAAAGATACTGGTATGGATTATGATGCAGAGTAAGATACAGCACTGTTTTTTCATGAAACAGCACTCTTGTAGTGAGGGAGGTGGAGTGGGAGCAAAAGAAGCAGAATGCTATTCAGTGCTGAGGGCCTGTGAGACCTCCAGTTCTCTGCCCTCATGCGCTGTTGAAGCAGAACTTGGGGAGCTCCTCTTTGATCCTCTGCTCGAAGAGGAGCAGTGACGGCCGGTCAGCTGGCCCCACAGTGGCAGAGCCAGGTCGGGCCAGCAACTTGAGGAGCTTTGGGGGTTGCCCCTAAGTCTGAGGCTTAGCAGAGACAGAAGGCTGTGAATATGGAAGCAAAAGTTGAGAGGGAGAAGCCAGCTCTTCTGGTGGCTTCAGTACATTAACTCCTGTTGCCAAATTGCCCTGCTTGGCCTATTTTTGTTCTAAATTATGAAGTCCCAGTTATGAGATGCATGACCTCATTCTAGAGATCCTTAGCGCATTTAAAATGCTGCCTATCAAGAGTTATTGAATTTATTTTCAATGGCTGCTTCCCCCCCTTCTCAAATAAAAAGAACATGAATCCAGAATCATAGTTTAAAAAAAAAAAAAAAATACAAAACAACCCTGGAACTGATGTGCCATGCTATACAGGCAGTTGAGATGGCATCTAGGTTTGTACTAAGCCTCCCACGGTGGTGGAGTTTGGAGCTCTTCTCTTTCAGGTCAGAGAAGATTAAAAAAGAAAAAGCTTTCATGTGAACTGTCTTTATAGGCTTTAGATTGTCTAAACCATCAGGCTTAGAATGGATGGAGAGATAAAATTTTATGATATCATAGCCTATTTGCCAAAGATTTCTCTGGTTTTTGATTATCAAAAAACAGAGAAAGTAATGACTTTATTATATTCTAGAAAAGCCAACTTATTTACTTGAATTTTCTTTCCTCTTTTTAATATGAATGCTTCTCTGTACTTTAAAATCTTGCTAATACTAGTAATTTATTTTGGCTTCTTATTCATAAGGCACAAAGTTTCACGTTGTGATTACCCCAGTTTTGGCTGCTGCTAAGTTTCCTGAAACATGGCCTTGAGTTTCTGACTGAAAGAATCAATCCCTTCCCAACTTGCTCCTTGGAGGTCAGGGGGTGTTGGCTTGCAGGAGACTGGCACGAAGCTTTTGCTTATTAAACCAGTTGATATTTCTGTATTTCCACATTGTATCATTTGAACATCTACACACAGTGCTAGCTTTGTTCCCTTAGAAACAACAAGAAGAAAAAATGAACAAAAAAAATCCAGTAAAGATGTATATTTAATTTCTACCTATAACAAAGCAAAATAATACAGTCAACACTAAGCAGGGATACAGAAGAGACAACTGTGATGCCCTGCAAGCCAGCTCCTGAATGAGCCCAAAGTAATCGTCTTCTTCAAGAAATATCCAAAGAAGCTATTTAGCAACAGTAGAAAAGATAGAAAAATGAATAAAGGTGCTTCGTCCTGTGTATTTGTTTTGCATGCAGCAGATAACTTAGTAAGATGCACTCAAAATATTTATTTTAAGAAGAATGAATTCCCTGATTAATGAAGAAGCTCGGCTCTTGAAGGATGATGTTTATGCCTGCAAGAAGATCAAGCCGTGATAGAGAAAGTGGTGTCAGACACCCAAACTTGTTTAAGTTTTCAAGATATCTGTGAGCTCAAATCTAGATGAATGCAGCTTTGGGAGGGGGGCACTTTCAGCTGTGTTGTTGTCGGTGGCTTTCCACTGTGAAGGGTTTTGGTATGACAACATTTAAAATCCTTAACAGTAAACATTTGTTAGTATAAAACAAAGCAATGTACACTTGTGAACTCATAATTTTCTTTTTTTACCATAACATTCCCATATATTAGCTTGTCTGGGGGGTTGTTTGAGAAGGTTGGCTTTCGTTTTAATTTTTAAATAGAAATGTGCTGTGCTGTTTTCTTCTGCTAGTGCCCAATCACCAGGCCATGCAGTATTTTTACAAGAATTTGGAAAACGTAATTTATTCCAAGTCATCAACAACTGGTTTGAAAAAGCAGTTGCATTAATTCACCTGCTGATATGTCTCACCTGCGTAATAGATCATGGATTGCTTTTGCGTTATGGACAATGCTGGAATTCCTCCTGTAAATTTTTAATGAGTTTCTTGGCTCCGTTATCTGCACATCAATGTGAATTAATGGAGTAGTGTTATCAGCTGAGTATGGAATGTGGTTCATCGAGGACGAGAAGATGCAGCAACGGCCGGACCAACTGTTGGAGCCGTCTCCCCATGGGGAGGAGGTCTGAGCTGGGCCACAGCTGCCCCCAAGCCCTGCACCGCTCACCTGCTTGGCACAGGAGCCCAGGTGCGGGGGCAGAGATGCCGTGAGAAGGCAGCCA